GGCGATGTCTCGCCGACCGGCACGCGCCGAAGCACTGTCCGCTAAGCTTTCGCCGCGGGCGCTGCCAAGGTCGAGGACGCCGTGCACGCACGCATGCTCGCGCAGCCGGTATTCGCACATTGCAGCTGTTGGTGTTCACGCCAGCGTACGGAATATTCGGCGTCGGTTAGTTCTTTATTCTAATCGGGGTACCTACATGGTGGTCATTGGTCACTTGGATCTGATAACTGCGAAATACGAGAGTAGCTTACTTTCAGAATTAAGTGGGGGGAAAACCTAATATTACTTTTCTTATTTCACCCTATGTCTATATGATTAATCGTAGTGTATCTGGCAAAGAAAATAATAAATGGCATCACAAAATGATTGTGGTCATTTTAGTATTATGAAATAAATTTATAATTGCACGGAACACTTTTACATTCTATAATAAGTACTTCATTTTCTTCAAAGTGAGTCACCCTCACCGAAAATCAAACCCGAGTTTCCTGGTTTACGCCCAGTAGCTTCACTTTTTATTTTTCCTTCAATTAATTCCTCATCAGCTTTGCATACATTATATTTCAAATGCAATGATTAAAGAGTAACGTAAAAACGTCCATTACACTAACAGTTTTATAAAAATGTTCTTATTCTACCCATTGCGAGAAGTAAGCAGAAAAGTGTACAGACCACAAACGCGTTTAAGATGCGAAACTTTAATAAGGATAAGAAGCCAAATTATGGACGTCGAGTAAAAGTTCGAGGGAAACTGTCCACAGGACAATAGTAGGAAGACATTACAAGTGCTGCGCCTTTTCTTTCTCTGAGAAATTCGAAACCCCGAAGCCTCTTCGTTCTTAGCTAAGGCTTCAGTGAGTGATGAAGATGAAGAGGCTGGGCTTGTATTTCCGTGGTCTTTCGGACAGGAATAGGAAAACCGGAGCATTAAGTTGGAGGGTCTTAATCTCTTATCAAATAATTCATTTGTTTGCGGGGGAACTTTCCTGTACTACCTCAAGGTTGGATATTTTCGCTGTAAATAAAAAGAGGAATCTTGCACTGATCCTGGTGACCCTGGCGTCTCTGGCCTCTGCGAATCATGATGACGCAACTAAAGGAATAGGTCACAGGCAACAAACAAATATTCCTACGTAGATTCCGAGAAAGGAAGTAGAAAATACTTGAAAGTTGTTTTGAAATAAAATTGAAATCTCTTAAAATGAGGCATTGAAAATATGTTTCTGGTGGTCAAATTATCCCGGTTCCAAAAAATTTTCGTTTTCTGAATCGACGCACTGCCCTTGTGAAAACTGCGATATTTAAAGAGATTATTTCACTAAATAACGAATACAGAGCTGGCATTGAGTCCGAAATTATTATTATTGAAAGTCCGAAACAGAAAGAGAAAGGAGTCAAGAGTACAACGCCAGAATAAGATCTTTCTGAGACTTTCCCTATTTGGACTACTGAAACATTGTCGTTGTAACTTTCGCCATGCTCTTAGCTTCTATTTTAAAAGCGCTCAATTGAATGGATGAAATCAGAACGGTGGAAGTAACATTTTATAAATTATGAGAAAAGCGTTTTTATTTTAGGCTATATTTCAGTGGCAATGTAATTTCGTGGTTTTAATGGACAATTGAACTGCCGTGGTTTTAATGATGAAACAAAGCCCCGTGACTTTACAGTGATACTGAATTAAATAAAGTTTTCTCTGAATTTATAAAATGTAACTTATACCGTTCTGATTTCATCCATTCAATTATTGTCTTACATGTCAAACGTTTATTGGAAATACCTATTCAAAATAGAAATTCATTCAATCTACTATCTCTCTTCTTGATGAAAAAATTAATTAATACATAAAAGAACTTGAACTTGAAATATTTCATAAAATGATTTCGAGACAATTTACTGGTGTGTGTATTACGGGGCTACCTAGAGGCAAAACAGACTAGGAGGGCGAACTCGACGGGGAACGATTATGGCCCTTTATGTAAATTACTACATAATCAAAACCGTTTCTGTTTGCTGTTCGCTTTTCGGGAGTATAATAAAAAAAAATAATGGGCATTTTTCGATGCAAATGGTTTCAATTAGAAAAGCGCGAACAACCATTTTTACTTTCTCGCTACGGAGTAGACAAAAAAGAGAAAGTTATGTACTCGTAATGCTTCACGAAAAATCGGCGAATTTTCGTCTCTCGTATTTTAGGGTCCTGGTAACGAAAAATTGGATACATTTATTTGCTAAATTTAGAAAAAAATCCTCTAATACGCGGTGTAGCCAGAATCCATGTTTTGTGGGTCCTTCATACCGAAAAATCAAATGTCGGCAAAACGTCTGACCGAACAACTCTTTCAGCTAAACTGTTCGCCGATTTTCTACAAAACTGATATTCCGCATTCGATCTAGCTGATGTCGCGGTCCCTTGGATTTAAAACCGATATTTTAATTTTGGGGGTTTCTTCACATGAAGCTCTGGGACATTCTCAAAATTTAAAAAAATGGCTCTATCATTTTTGATTAAATTTTGTTGTTGGATAGTGTGTACGTCGTTGAAGAGAATGATGCATGTCTCATGTTAGTCGAAAATCGTGGTTTTTCGAAAATTGCAACAGTTCCAATATTTTTTCGGAGACTTCCTACAAATAAAATATTAGATAGAAATGTTTCCCCTTAAGGAAATCTGTTCCTTAAAGGTAGATTTTAAAATAAGGTCATGAACAATGTTTTACGAACATTTTAGTACTTTTCGCGTAGTTTTGCCTCAAAATAGGCGAGAAAGTAGTTAGCACCACTAGTTATGCTGCAAGAAATCAGTGACGGGATTTTGACGGAAATACAGGTTTGAGGGTACCGAAACCTCTTCGGTACCCTGAAACCGAAAAGTATAATTTTTAACCGACTTCCTGCCGTTCACCACAAATTATTTTTGAAGAATATTTTTCACATCCCTCTATATTTTCATGTAATCCCTTTCTGTTACATTATATACATTCGTTCGTATTTTCTTTTTCGTGTTGGTATACTGCATGCGAAGTTTCCCTGTAAGCTTCACTATAAAATCACGTCGTCTGATGGTTATTTCCGATACTTCGATTACAATCCATTATGACTCCATGGTCGGGAGCGTAATAAAACTTTTATAGACCATATACGTAAAAAGCATTTGAGCTTGAACATTTGGAGCGTTTTGAGTTTTGTGGAAGCTCAGTGCTTCAGTTTCAGCTTCTTCCCTCTGCAGTGCACAAAGTTTCATCTAAAATGTGCTCCTGAACCATTCTAAACTCCATTTTCAAGGATAATGGTTTTATCCTAAGTGGAGCTGCACATTTTTAAAAACAAAGTCTCTATTACTCAAACAAAATACTATGTTTTACTCTACCATGGCGAATTTTTTACTGTAAAAATATACTATTTTCTAATATTTCTTCACACAAAACTGACTATTTTTTGAGAGTAGTTTTTCTTGAACGCCAAGGGTGTATATCTTTCTGTGTATGCCGAGTATTATCAGATTCATTCACCCGTTTAATTCATATTAAATATTTACGCTTCGTGTTATTTATAAGATGTCATCGACACAGAATCCCGTAAATGCGCTCCAGTGGATAGGGAATTATGCCCAGGGTAAGACAAAAAGTGTAGATTGCTTTTGATTTTCTGTATGAAGAATGCAGACACACATGCAAACCGCAACACACGTTACCTTTGCGTATAACTCGACAACAATAAGTTGACGACAATGACTTCAATTATTTCTTCATTTAATTACGTCAACAACACCTCATCAAGATTCCCACAAAACAATTGCCTTTGTTTTTCTGGCATTAAATCGTGGCCTAAACTCTGCTCAGTGCGTATTTACCCAAACTGAATAGCAATGCGACGCTGGAGAGAGCAAAAGGAGCTCCTGCGCGGAGGATTTCTAGCCGTTTGCCAGCAGCTCGAGCCGGTCGCCGAGCAGAGCGGTTGCTTCAGTGGTGACGCCGAGCGCCGGAGAAACCGCCAGCGCAGCCCCGCACAGTGGTTTCGCTCGTTTCGCCCGACCGACTCTTCGTAACACTGATCTTTTTTTATTTTTTTTGAAGGGGGGGGATTTCTGAATAATGTGTTGGGTTACGCAAATCTACGAGAAATAAACTTGTGAATACATCATAACAAATTATGGGCAACTGTTTTAATTGAGGCGAGTGTGAATTCGCGAGTGATCCAGCTGTTAGAGTGGAGGGAGCGGTCGAACTGAGCGAACCAGAACAAATGCACTTTCTCTCTGCACAGGATCTCTTGTCTGCACAGGTGCAGTCTCTGCGACAGGATCTCTTAAAGGAATCGTTTTCTCCTTCCAGCATACGTTTAGTAATTACATTATGTTTTAATCCGTGCGTAAAGGTTGAAAAGCATTGGACAAATAAATGTGGGTTAAATAGAAAAATAAAAATCTTCTGAACGTATTTTCCACGCATTTTAAAAGATACATTCTCCTCTCCTTCATTTGGCGTTTTAATAAAAAAAATAGAAGTTCAACTAATACTTGTACTCAATATAAATTATTTGTTATTGGCTTAAAGACGTAGGCTTACGCGACGGAAGTCAACGGAGTCTTCTGCGTTTAGCCAAGATTCTATGTCCCAGGCTGTTTAGCCCACATTTCGGTAGTCATATTGCAACTTTCATGGCTAAATCCCTTTTAGCCATGCCCATTCAAATTTTCATTATTTTTAGTATTTTTCTCTCCCATAAAAGAAAAAAACAAACAAAAAAACAAAAAAATAAATACAGAGAATGGTGCAAGACCTTGAATTAACAAGACCCTTTCAACTTTTAAATTTAATTTTGATTTGCCATGTCCCAGAACACAATTCAGAACACTACCTCTCAATGCTTCCATGTATTGGAGATGGTAAATTACTTTTTGATTGGTTGTTGGAAATACCACAATTTAATTTTGCTATGTAATATGAAATTTTAACTTCATCAATACATATTAATGGTTTTCCTTGCGTCTGTTCCAGATGATCCAACTTGGACAGAAGGGACGTCTCCAACTCCAGAAGAAAGCGGTGTGTCTGGAGACTCCCCAGCTGTGCTCGCTGGGATTGTAGTAGGCGTGCTTGCCACTATGAGCTTACTCTTCTTATTTGCCCTTCTGATTGACTGCCGCAATCAGTAAGTAGCAACATTTAGAAAATGTTATTCTCCTTAAACTTGACACTTAATAGCAAAAAGAGGCAATGAGATGTTATAGCACAATAATTTCCATTTATAAATCCAGAATTATTAAATACTAGTGATACATAGCAGTAAAATATGATTAAGTCTTGAATGAATTTTAAAAGTTTGAATAAAACAATTAGAATAAAGAAATGTAATGAAAAGGAATTAAAATCTTCAAAGAAGATAATTTCTGTAAACATCAAAGTAATTAGAGAGATTTGTTGAGAATTTAAATAATATTGCTGTTTATTGACTTTTCCCAAATTGTTGTATCAAATGAAAATTGCAAATCATGGTCTTTTGAATGCATGATTAAAGGTGTGGATATCTCTTACCACACAACAATGAAATCTGCACCAAAAGATATCACTTGTCCACCCAATATAACATTATTTAAATCTGGATCTTCACCTTTGATAATGTTTCTCAGTAAATGGATTTATACAGTCAACTGCTGCAGTTGGGATCACTGAGTTAGACCATGAAGAATTTTCTTTCCAAACCAAAGTATTAATAAGAAAACATTACTCTAAGATGACAGTTTCAACCAATGAACTTCTGCATTTGATCATAGAATATTTATGCACTGAAAAAACAACAAAAGAAACAGCATTAGGAAGCGACAGTGAAGCCAACTAAATTCTTAAGAGCTTTACGATTGCCTTGCTTGTTTCATTATTACATTTTTTGAACTATGAATACAAACCTTTCATAAACCTTATCATTTTCCCCCAAGATTTTGAGGTCACAAAAGAGGTTTTGAGGTCTCAATTTTCGAAAGAGTCGTAGATGCCATGACTCAATTTAACCCATTACCATAATTGTATATAAAAACTTTACATTTGAATATTTTCTGCTGATATAATAAATAAAATTCAAAGTTAAAAGGATTACATAAATGCTGAATTTTGAATAACTCTGTTCACAGAAAGATTATTTTACTCTGCAGACAAATGTCTTAAATTTCACATTATCTTAAGTGTCTTGTCCCAGATTTCTTTTAACGGATACTCGTTACAATTTACCATTGAACTTGATAATCTGTTAAATAAGATTAGCTGTTAGATTGAAGAGTGTATTACATGTTCAAATATTTGCTGTTCCAGGCAAGCAGAGGCAGCAAAAAGACAATCGGAAGAAGCTCGGGCAGCGAGGCGAAGAAGGCGTGTATTCAGACTTCCTGCCTTTTTCCGAGGAAGAGGAGCAAATGGAGATGGCCTTGCCTTTGCTAGTCAAGTGTGCGAAGAAAATCGGAACACTAATCCTGTGTTAGAGGGCAATTCCTCTACAGTGGTGGATATAACTGAACCGAAACCTTCATCATCAAGTGTATTACAGTGTTGACAGTGAGAATTTCTTCAGAAACTGAAATGCACGTTTCATGTTTGTAACAAATTTATGGACCAAAACAAACTTTGGAGAGGATAAGGAAGATAAGGCTATATTTGCATTTCAAAACATGGGAGAAGTAATCTATATAAAAAGTATTTATTTTTGTAAATGCATACATACTAGTTTTAAGTCTTCCAGCATGTGGCTGTGAAATGATGGGGCAGCGATCAGTTTGCTACTAGTCTGCAAGACTGAAGGCTTTGGCCTTGGTGCTCAACCATCGATACTAAGTTCCTTTGTTAGATTCAATATAAAGAGAGTGCAGAAAATCACATTATTGTGCATCAACAAGTAATGTAGGTATCTAGAGTAACTGCAGTTGCAAATGGCTGCAGAACTATTATTATAAGAAATAAAATTCATCAACAATAATATTTAATGAGCAAAGCATTATTTTAACATTACATCCCATAAAAACATTGTGATGGATTTGTCTTACCACAAGTTTTCCACATTTAAGAAGTTTCACAATAACAAATTCTTCACTTCTTAATTATATAGCAAATGGCACTATCAATTGTAATAATTATACTACATTCATTTTAACTTTCTGATGAACATGTATAACTGGAATGTCTTCAAAAACACTTATACAGAAAATACTAACTACTATATTATTGTGTAACATCAACAAACTGTTTCCTAAAGAATATAAACTGTAATCATTAACATATCACTTAATATTTCTACACTACGAAAGAACTTCACTATCAAAATTTCCTAACAATAACTAGCAAAGAACAATAAACCTTTGCAGACATTTATTTGGATATTTTAAAAACAAACATTTCTTTAGCACTGCAACGCTAAGCAGTAACTAAGACACTGAATACAATATATCACAAACTAAGATTTTTAATATTATTTGAATATTTAGCACAATAGTAGTATAAAAATATTATTTCAGAACACTATAAGACTCAATATATAAATTCTTTAGCTGTCATTTACCAATTAACAAAAATGAGATTTTTCCTTACCTCAATATACATACAAATTATCATCCTTGTTGACAAACATTTTCACACATTTGAGCAATCTTTGAAATCACATAAGAGCAATTTTATCCAATAGGATTACATCTATTTCCGTCTAACACTTCCCTAATACCATTGCAAGAAGAGCCATTCGCACATACATTCCACATTCGGCTTGACGGAAATATGCAGCTCTAGGATCAGAATCTATCTCGGGGGAGATTTCATTGACTCTTGGCAATGGATGCAACACACACATTCGGCGTTTGGCCAATGTCATCAGTTGTGGAGTAACAACAAGTAGTCCACAAGCCTATAACACAAAGAAACAATTGAAGCTGGATAATAAATTACATTACATTACATTACAATACATTATAGGGGTTTGATATAAGATTTACAATGCTCCTACTGAATTCGTACATTAAATTAGTCATATACAAATGAGGCGTTTTCTATACCTAAGAACGACACAAATTTGATATTACACACACTACAAATTACTGTAGAGAAACAAGGTGACAGTAGTTGAGGAGAGTTTTACACCAGAAGTGTAAACATTAAAAAAGTAATACTATGAAAACCATTCACGTCTTAAAATAATTTTGATAAGTGTTATGAGTCATTCAAAATGTAAGTTTTAAAATTTTTTGCTTTTTCTTATCTCCCCTCTGACCTTGTTTTAACAACTCTTACAAGTATTTTCCTTATGATATCCCTAAGTATTCCCCCCACTTCATGAGTTAAAGGAAAGGAAATTATAATTATAAATTGGCTATTTCATATAAATTATTTAATACAAGATACATTTTTGATTTAATACAAGATGCTTTAGAAAGAAGTTAATAAAATAATTATTATAAATTATGGCTGGGTCAACATTTGATTGGGTAAAAAGCTTGCCTTCTTGCAAGATTAAATGATATTAGATCTGGACATTTTCTCAGCAAAGGGAGTCAAAACAATTCAATCTATGGATTATGATGACCGAAAACATTGCTAAGAATTATCAATAAAATGCACTTAAAATGTGATGTAAAAAGTTTCACCAAAACCAGTTGACATGAACAACTTAAGATCTTGGATGTGTTTCTCACGTAATCGAGGCTTCTTTCTTTTGTTTAATTAAACTTAGCATGCAAACTTTTGTTTGGATTGGATTTGTTATCCCGAAATCGGTTGAACCAGCAATGGTCTTGGCAAACAGACATCAAAGGATCCTTATATTACATACTCACAACAAGCGATTTACAATTTTTGAGCGAAGAAATCACATAGGCTATTCAGGAATTCTGTGGAGATCATTGTTGCATCTCAAAATTATTATTTGAAGAAAGTACTAATAAAATGGTATTAAAATTAATGAAATCAGCAAAAAATGTTTTAAAAGAGTTTTAAAAAAAGTTTTAAAAAAGTTTTAAAAGAGACAGGGAAAGGTAAAAGATGATTTAGTAAAAAGTAGATGAAGTAAAAAGTAGATGAAGAAAAAAAAAGTTGTATAAAAATGGGTCATTTCCTTTTGTCATAATTCAAAAATAATGTCTACACCATAAACTAAAGTGAAAAGAACAAGAAGACGACATTTCATTAAAATATGGCATCTATTACTTCATGCTTAATAGCTGTGGGGTTGCAATGGTAGTGGACAATTGCAAAACAGGAAATGTTTTCCCATGTAATAGTTTAACTTCCAATTGTCACCGCCAGATGAAACGTTAAACATTATTATCACAAAATCTGGTAAGAAAATTCATTTTTCATTAACCCCCTTCCCATAGCTTGTTTGCTTTTGCCATGGTTCAGGAGACACTCCCTCCTACAAGAGGATGCATTTTTCTAGTGATTCCTAAAGAGCAGATGCAACACAGGAAATATGGGAAAGAGAGAAAAAACAAAAGATTTTTGGTTTTTATTCCCACATTGGTATTGTGGTGAGTTTTCAATGGCATTTACAATGAAATAATTATATGAGTTGTCATTGCCAACAATATTGTGTATTACTATAGCAGTTTTCGATGGCTTAGCCATCCTCATCAGTTTTCTAGTACACGAAGAAAAAAAAATTAAAATGTAATTATTTTTTTATTTGACAACAAAATTATGATACAAATATTACTAATAATTTACAATTTATAGAAAATATATTTAACATTTTAAGAGCTGAATGAAAGAAAAGGAGGGTGTTAAGTAATTTAAAAGTGAATGAAATTGAATTTGAACATGTGAAATTTGAAACAGAAAACCTGAAAATATAAGTTGAGCCTTTTCTTACCTACTGTATGAACGCTACAAACTTGACTACGCGGGCATGTTTTTAAAAGGTTAAATATATTTTCTAAAAACTGTAAATTATTAGTAATATTTTTATTATAATTTTGCTGTAAAATCAAAAAATATTCATGTTTTAAAGTTGTTTTTTTTCTTGTGCTAGAAAACTGATATGATTGCTAAGCCATCGAAATCTGCTAATGTAATAAACAACATTGCTGGCAATGATGACTCGTAATTATTTTATTCCCATATTATTCTCTCCTTCCAGTTTTTATTATGTTCTCCTAACAGTTACACCAACCAGAAAATAACATGTCAGCATAGCATCAAGATGTAAAGTAAATCGAGGTCTCTGAAATAAACGTGGGAAAGAGAATGTTGGCAGTGGTTTCAGACTAACGAATTTGTAAATCCCTTCTGAAGCTACTAGTAAATATTGTTATTGTGTAAAGAATGATAAACTATAAGCAAGAAAAAACGGTAAAATAAAAAAACAAAAGTTTAGATGAAGATAATGTTCCAGAAACGACTTTTCAATGTTTGGTAGCAATTTTTCATAGTTTTCATTTTATATGATAATTGTACTCTTTGCTAAAAAAATATTTAACATATAATTTTCAAATATCAACAAAGTTGCAGTATACAAAGAAATTAATTTGTGAACATGGATTTTTTCAAATATTGCTTAGATTATTCATGGTATCTTTTTAAATTCAATTATTGGCAACACAGGCACACACAAAGAAAAGTTGTCAGACCCAAAGACTTGACACATATCTCTATATGTATGTCGACATGCTGAATTCGAAACTGAAGTCAGAATTGTGCCACCATCCTCCAGTTTTGTTTTTTTAATCGCAAAAATCCACTCTCAAATTTACAATCGACAATTTTTCGTAGTAATATTCCACAAAAAGAAAAAAAAAAGAAAGAAAGAAAGAAAACCAAGAAAGAAAAAAGAAAAGAAAAAAAAAAAAGAAAAGAAAGAAGAAAAAAATAAAGAGGTGGTGGCACAATTCTGAATTTAGTTTCAGATTTAGTGCAATGACATAAAGAACAGGTGTCATGTCTTTCTGTCTGACAACAATCCCCAATCACTGCGTTTTTTCGCGAATAAACAAAATAATTTAGGGGAGTGGCAGAATTCTGGCTTCAGATTTGCATCCAGCGTGTGAACATATGTAGAGAAAGTTCATACTATACATAATTTCAATGGTTTTATTTAATAATTTTTTTTAATTATCAACTCAGACTACACAATTTCATTGCTCCACATCACTTCTTTAAAAATTATAATACTACATTGTGCATGCAAGTATGCCAATCTCCCCCTTAATAATACGTAACAACAGAAAGACAATTAGGACATCGCAGGTCAAGACATTATAAGTGTTTATTCTTAATTAAAAAAAAAGATGCGAGAATATATGAACAAAGTTATATTTGGTCCAATTAACAACCAGGGGAAAGACTAATGGAGAACAAGTATGTATTGTTCTGTGAAAGACAAGACTGGAAATTCTTAGAGATGACAAGAGCAAGATCAGTGATTCACCTGAGGGAAATTGCATGTAAGTAAGGTAAAAGGCAAGTGATGTGTGATAATTAGAGCCCAAAGTTTAGGAATTCATTTTCTCCATGAAAGTCTTTCAAAAAGGCATTTATTCAAAGATGCCAAAGGCATGTAAGCAAAGAAAAATAAAAATTTAAAAGAATTTACTGCAAAAAAAATTCATATTAATTTAAAATTATTCATATTTTATTTCTCTAAATTTTAAATTTTATATTGCACTTTTTTTAAATTTTTTTATTTTTATTTCATTATTATTTTTATTATTATTTTTATTATTATTTTTATTATTATTATTATTATTATTATTATTATTATTATTATTATTATTATTATTATTATTTTTTACTATCAGGAAGAATACTTTTCTGTTTCATTATTAAAAATTATTCTTTGGGGTACACTAAATTTCAGTAATATGCCTACAGAATTTGTCTCTCTCATGATGCTGTCTCTATGAAATCATATTGTAAATGACAATAGCAAAAGTGAAAATGCTATTCTTTTCATTCTTGGAATTTATGAGATTGCAAGCACTTTATATCATGTATAGAGCTTTCTTCCAAAAGGATTGAGACCATACTAAAAGGCAAGATGGGATTTCTCATAAGCAAACAAGACATGTTAGCATCAATGAAAGAAATCCAAAAATCTTGACTGAAAACATCTTGCCTTTCTTGTAAATACTATTTGGACCTGGAGACCAAGTTCAATCATTTTGCCAGATACTGTGACTATGTTTGCAAAGAAAGGCAAAATGTACTAGTGTCTTTGTGTTGTCCAGACTAGCAATTATATTTCCAGCAAGATTGAGATCAGTGAATGGAGAAAAAATTAAAAGAATGATGTAAAATGAAGAAATACCAAAAAGAAATAAAAATAGTATTAATAGTAATAGTAATAATAAAAATAGGCATAAGAAGCTAAAATAAGCAAAATTACAAACCTTAAACCATTTCGGAAGTACAGTTAAGTATTCTTATTGTTAAAAGTCTTAAAATCATAACAATAATAAAAAGGCATTTTGCCAAACTTCTGGGCTCTGGTAATAATATATGAAATGGGGCGATTTGAGAAAATAATTATTTTTAAAAAAATTTTAAAATTGCCTATATTTCTCACAAAATTACACAAAGCTACTAATATTTTCAAAAAAACTGTACATGCTTTGTTTTATGATCTGTCTTTACAGAAAATACTTTAAAAAAAAAAAATCTCTATCTTCAATATTGTAGTGGTAGGAAGATGACAAAAAAAAATTGAACTTGTGCAATTTTTGAAAAATCAGGAATGTCAACGAAAATGAGACCTACCTTTACGCTATCCAAGGCCAAAGTTTAATTTAAAAAAATCGAAGCCATTATTAGAAAATGTTGCAAATATTTTTGAGGATTTATGTAAAATACTACAAAAAGTAAAAATATCTGCTTCAAGCACTCAGAGCTCTGAGTTCCTTCAAATTGATAATGGAAAACAATTTTAAAGAAAATTGGCTGAACCTTTTAGGAGCTAGCGTTGAGCACAGATAGACAGACCTTTTCGATTTTTCGGTATCAAGCCAGCGCTGTTACATGAACTGCTTAATTATGCTCCATGAAGTCACACAAGTGATGCAATTTGAGACACCACAGATTCCCAGATGGATGACATCTGGGAATTGTTTCTAACAGCACAGAGCCACTGGCTGAAGGAATAAAAGGCATTGTGTGACTGCGACATTATGAGACAAACTGCAATTGACTAAATGGATGACTATTGCAATATACATATGATCAAAATGCCCAAAAAGGGCTAGAGACACGTTGCATAAGAAATGTATTGAAATAACGAATTAAAACAGAGGAACCCACAAAACATGGATTCTGACTACCAACGTATTAGAAGAAGTAATTTACTTCAGGAATAAGATATATGCACTTTTCCATTAGCAGGGCCTAACAATAAGAGTTTTCCTGTAGAAAATTCATTGTATTCTGGCGCATGATTTCAGTACTTGCAGAACTCTCTTTCGAAAGTAAGGGTGAGAAAGTAAAAATCAGGTAAATAATAATAATAATAATAATAATAATAATAATAATAATAATGTGTAATAAATGTAATTCTCAGCTAAAACGGGGCAAGGGGAAAGGGATTCAAAATAAGTAGAGAAATAAAAAGTTTTAATGCATTCCACGGTGGGGTCCCACTGAAAATATACGGGGGGGGGGACATGGCTCCCCTGCAAATGCCTATGACCATGCGTTATCTGGCCCTGCCTATGCCATGTCCTTCTCTTATCATGGGTCACAAGTGTAGACTTTCTGGTATAAAATATTAATTAAAGACCACAGTTTCTCTCAATGTGCCCTTTTTTATGTAAACATTTATATAGTAATAAATAAATAATTGATAAATAAAAAGAAAGAAGAAAATTAAATGGATTTTGACACAGGTAAGTTATCCTTCTCGATTACACCCTAATTTCTTTTTAATTGACATTAATCTCTACTTAGATAAGTTTCAGAAGTAATTTTCCATAAAATTTGTTTATTCTTTTGCCCTCACCTTTTCATATTCTTCTTGAGATGAGAAGCGTTCTCGTTGAATACGTGTCATGTACAGGACATCAGTATCAGGAAGAGCCTCTTCTAAGCTTCGGAATTCTTGCTGTGGTACTCCTCGAGCTGCCACAGCTTCCACAACATCAGATGGCATGCTTAGATTGGACGGACTCACATAGCGCAATGACACATTGTACAAGGTCAGCAACCTAGTAAAGAAAGCAAGAGCTTACTTTTCAATACGTTAGCAAATGTTAATATACATGTTACACATGCTAATATACACGTTACAAATTCTAACAAATGGATTACAAAGAGGTGTACGCATAATATCAATAACTAACAGAATTTAGTTTCATGATGTATTCAGCATTTCAACTCTAATTAGCAATATTTTAACAAGTTTTCTATACATAATTGTTTGCCAAGTATTGAATTTCTTCCCGAGTTTATGAAATATTCATATTCAGCAACAATTCAATAAATCTTTAATTTTAACACTGATGTTTAAAATTCATTTTCTCAAAGACAACAATTCTCAACTTTATGGGCTATGGACTTCCATAATATCTCTCAACACACTCGACAACTAAATGTTTAAAATGGCGGGAGCACAGGTAAAAGGGATTAAGTCAAGTTTTTGTCCAAAATGAATATGCCAGGACATTGTTTATACTACGATACTATCATTGTGTGTACGGAGAGAAGTAACATTTTAATTTTGTCATTAACAGTTAATGCCAAAATTGAAAGTTTACTATTCCCTCTACACTCAATGACAGTACTGTAATAAAGCAATAACCTTACACACTCGTTTTAGCATTGCAATATGATAATTTGACAAAATTAGAGGGAGAGCACCACTTCTCCCTCTCGCATTTCCGATCTTCCAATCTACAACAAGGGCCTCCTTAACTGAAGGGTTCTCTCAATCATATTCACCTGCCCAGATCCCAGTTGGCCTTCCACCTCCAAGAGAGGAGCCTGAATTGCATTAGTAAATCTTATTACAAGAGAATCGAAAAAAAATATATATATATTTTTTTTTCTGACTACAAAAGGATTCAGACATCACTTTGAGAAGCATTGAATGAAATGAAATCTAGTCAGAAAATTAAGTTTAGCAATGAAAAAGGAGTCTATATGCTTACTTGGCAAGAGAGTGCACAGTTCGACCATGTTTCAGGTCACCAGCCAAAGTGATTGTAAGACCATTAACAGTGCCAATTTCCTCTCTGATGGTAAAGACATCAAGAAGAGCTTGTGTGGGATGTTCTCCAGTACCATCACCTGCATTGACCAAAGGTTTTCGACAATGGGCTGCTGCTCTCTAAAACCAATAACATATACATTTGAAATTATTATTTTACACGAGCCTGAAATACAACTTAACAATCCTTACTGCAATCAATATTTTAGGACAGAAATTCATTCATATTAATGAAGTACTTTATTTATTCATTTTCAGTAGAAGCAACCTATGATATTAGATATAATGTTAGTAATCTTTATATTTGATAGTTTCATTCAAAATTGCTACGAGTTAGAGTAGCAACTATATTAATTCTCAAAATTATGAAATTAATCCCCTAGGTATTTTAGAGACATGTGCAATATCTTATTTTTTAACATCAATATTTTCTCAATCCCAGTTTAATAGAAATTACTAGCCTTAAGAAAGCCACATTGGAACAATATTAGTAATAACATAACTAAGCTAAATAATTACAGAATTAACATGTAGGAAATGTCCTTTAACACGCTACCAGTTTCTGGTAAAGAAATTTTCCAGATCTCATCCTTGCAGTATTACAACAACATGCTACTCACAGCAACTGCGCCTGGCTCTGGATGCCGCAAGACAACCACATCAGCATAACCAGCCATAACTGCAACAGAATCTTCCAAGGATTCTCCTTTCTTGACGGATGATGAAGACTCATCCATATAAATGATACTGCCTCCTAGGCGTTGCATTGCAGCAGAAAAACTGCAAGCTGTGCGAGTGCTAACTTCATAGAAGATTGAAGCTAACACTTTACCCTACAACAATTTCAAAAATGAAAAGGTTTTTAAAAATCACACTCAATGGGAATCAATTCAATTAAATTTAACACACAATGGAGGGCAAAAGTAATTTGTTTAATTAAAAGCATGAAAGTGAATGGAAGGGTTATCTATCATCGAGTGGGGCTTGCCGGCAGGGGCTTGCGGCAGGGGGCTTGCGCAGGGGCTTGCGGCAGGGGGCTTGCGGCAGGGGGCTTGCGGCGCAGGGGGCTTGCGGCAGGGGGCTGGACAGGGGAAAGGAGTGGGGCGGGGGCGGGGCGGTGGTCACCTTGAGGATGTGGTCGAGCGGGCGCTCCTTCAGCACGAACACCCGCAGCGTCTGCGCCAGCGTTGAACACCTCGTTCAGCTGCTCCTTGGAGAAGGAGCCCACGCTCAGCACGTGCTGGCCGGCCAGCCCGTGGCGCGACGGCGTCGCGGGGCGGCGGCGGGGGCGGCGAGGACGAAGGAGCGGCGGCAGGGGCGGGGGCGGGCGGACCAGCGACGCTGCCACCGGCCCTGCGGCCACGGCCCCGGGCAGCAGCAGGCTGGGGTACGAGTCGCTGCCGCTGGTGCGCCTGCCAGCGTCCCCGCCCCGCTCCGCAAGCCCGGGGCGACACGAAGCGCGGCCCAGCCCCGCCCGCCGCCGCGCGACCGCCGTACGGCGTCGCCAGCTGCGGAGACAGGGCGCGCGTGCGGACGGCAGCCGGGGAGAACTCCTGCAGCAGCTTGTAGTACACATCTGCGGGCACAGGAGACACGCCTCGTCAGCCTTTGAGAAACTGACGATGTATCGACGCAAGTGTAAGGCGCATAATAAGTATGGAAGATGTTGTGCGGTCCTAGAATTTTCCTGCAAACTGCGGCTGAAGTCTACAGAGCTCTGACAAACAAGGTAATTTCGAAAATTAGCATCAAATGGGCTGAGTCACTGGATCTCACTGTCAAACGATGCTACAGAAAGGAACGATGTCGCCGTTTAGGTATAGAATTCGTACATGCAATATAAAAACAAACAAATATTCCAACAAATCGTGCAACTATTTCTGTAAATGCACCGAATAAGTTGTTAAGACAAACAATCCTACTTTTCAAGACAATTTTAAAGTTTACACAGATGTGTAAAATCGTGGTTTTGTAATAAATCGATGAAATTTGGTGAAATATACTCCAAAGCTAATAACTTTTCACCATTACAAAGCCAATAAGCTAAAACTTTTCACCATTACAAGCAATTACTACCATTAGCTAGTAACAAGATGAATTAAAAGTCGTGCCCTCAGAAATAGGCAGAAGTGTATCTACGGTAAGGCACAACGGCGCGTGCCATAGGCGCGGGTCACCAGGGCGCTATTTAGGCCGCTTGCCCACGCCGCCACAGAAGCGCGCGTATGTCAATCAACAGGGCTTCTCGCGACCCTCCGGCGATGTGACGTACGCGCGCTTCTGTGGCGGCGTGGGCAAGCGCCTTAGAGTTTACCGCTGAAAGAGATTACAACCCTTAGTGTGCCTGACGAGCGCAAGTTGTATGCTTGTCCCCGGGCGGCCTGAATACCACGCCTCTGGAATTGGGAAGAAGGAAAGAAAAAAAAGAAGAAGGAGTGGAGGGCGTACCGCTGACGTGCGTGCGCCGTCGGCGCCCCAGGCGGCGGGGCGCGGCGCGGCGAGCGACGGCGGCGGCGCCAGGGGCTCGGGCGTGTGCGCGCGCGGCGTGGGCCGGCGCCGACAGCTTCGTGGCGCTTGGCGGCGCCGCCGGCCGCCTCGCGCACGTCCACGCCGAAGCCCGGCGGCACCAGCACCTGCCCGTCCACGTACGCCGTCTCGCCGCGCAGCACCACGCGCCGCACCCGCCCGCGCACGCGCCGCCCGCGAACGGCGACCAGCCGCGCTTGGCAGGTAGGGCGGCGCCGCCGGCAGCATCCACTCCTCCGACAGGTCCACCTCCACGTACGTGTGCGGCTGCTCGGGCAGGCCGAAGATGCGCCGCGGGTTGCGGTGGAACTTGTCCACCAGGTCCTGCGGGCAAACAGAGCGGCTTCAAACGGAGGCGTAGCTACAGATGGTGCCGCCCGGGGCAAAATTAATGTATGCCCCCCCCCACGCACAAATTAAAGTTCACCAATTAAGATAAACTAATTGCTGACCATTGAAAAAGAGGTGCTTACTGCTTATAGTTTCGCGATTTAGTTTACATTCTTTTTTTTCTTCTTTGTTTTCTTGGCATTTATAATTTAAATATATAGCTATTAAATTAACATTTTTTAAAAATACATCATTATATAATTCCAAACTCCAAAACCAAAATTTTCTAATTGGTGTCACCCAGGGCTCACAGAACCCACTGCCCCCTTCTATCTACGCCATTGTTTTCAAATAATTTCTTGTTTTCATCACTCTTGTTCTGTAACAACGACAATATATCAATTGAAAGGGTCATCAAATTTCGAACGAAAACTCGTGAAGAGTCAGGGTGTCATCGTGTGTTTACCAGACGGGCTTGCACAGGTGATGCGTGGTCAGCGCAACGACTCCCGTTAAACCCTACCGATTTACTAGATGGGTGATGGCACCACATTTAGGTGGCTCCTTTTGTACACACGAAAATGAGTGCTCCCCTATCCAGCCCAGTACAAAATTCTAAGGAACACCAGGGAATCGAACACCGGACCTCCGGATCCGGAGCCCCTACACTACGGAGGTGGTACGGAATTGAAAGGGTATAATATAATAAAATATACGATTACGTCAAACGTGTCATATTTCGTGCAGTCCTATTCTACGAAGGCATTGTCACTTCTTCCTCCATTGTGAATAGATTATCTCCGACAATGTCTGCGCTGGGCGTTACCTCGTTTCTTTAAGTTATCGGTAAAACTGTCGATAAATTGTCTGCGAGGAAAACATGCCACACACTAGAAAGGCGTTCCACACTGAAGTATGTAACATAAGATGTTTTGTGTGAACTAGTCATTCAACCTAATAAATCTTAACGACAATGCAGATTTATTGCAAATGATAAGCAGCAGATCGGTGACTCTCCGTATGGTTCATTGAAGGATGCACCGAGGATCAGACTCCTTCCTACATTAAAAATTTTGAGAGTATCTCGCCCAGGTCCCACACAGTAAGCCAACGTCCTTTGAGTTTCGCTTCTGCCCCATAAACATTGGGCGGTCGTGACCAAGAATCTGAAGAACGCCGATGACCGCGAGTGCTCAGCGAGTTCAAGAGCGGAATGCTGTAAATTCTACAATGAATAGAGTTTTAGGTGAAAGCCAAACAACGTTAATTTTTAATGAGGAAGATTGAGAAGATTACTTTCCATCGTCAAGGACTCTGCTTTTGAAACTAAAAACCCAACACTAAGAAGTAGGTTACTATCAGGGACATACTTCACAGGCTCTCCAATATGTTCTGCGAATTGGTGTCTTTGAAGAATTATTTCTTTGACGCATTATTGTTAGACGAAGTAATTAATTTTTGAAGAGCATCAATTTGATCAATTTTGGCTAGATAAAGTGATTAACTGAGCTTCATCAATAATTATATTTATTTCATATTATATTTATATACTATCTATAAACGCGTATCGGTTGTAGGTAAGTTGTAACAAATGCAAATCAAGATGATGTGACATTTTGAGAATTGACCATACTAGCACATACTACAGTCACTGTAGAAACCACTTCCAGTAAGAACGAAACGCGCGAAAAGTGTTTCACACTTCTCACTACGCAGGTCACATATTTGCCTCCTAACACTTCACGCTACTGCAAACAATCCCTGACATTTACTTATTAGTCTAGGGAAATAATCATTCAACTATTAGCATTCTATAGGAAAAAATTGGAGGTTCCTAAATTAGTGTGTTTCAAGTTGGTTCAGTAAAAATGAATCTGCCTAAAAGGGAGAGCCTCTGTATCTACATCTAAGTGTTTGACAACTAGGCGTTCTCCTGATGTTTATAGTCTTTGCTCAAACAAAATGTCAGGGAGCTGCAGGTGTCCAACTTCAACAGAATTAACAACACTTCACTTTTTGACAATCTTGATGTTTTAATGCAACTCCGTTTGCACATTGTAAAGTATTGAGTTCTTCGCACAGTGTTTTTCAGCGCTTATGCACTTTACATTCAGCACTTCACCGGGGCATTTGAAACGAGAATATACACGCATATATTTCAATATACTAATTATTCTTTGTGTCTCTAATTTTGTTTTCTACTGAAGAGAAAAATAGACTCTTGTTAGCATTTGCTTTTCATGACGTTTGATATGAATCGCCAAGAGTAAATTTAACAAATGCTCTTTCTATTGTCCACAAGCGAAACTCCAAGACAACTAGATTGTTCTTTGGAGCATTAATATGGACGTCACGAATTTGATCTGAAATTATGTGGAGTGTTACACTCTTGAAAAATTTCATTATATATTTCGAAAGAATAGAAGAATAACCAAAATGTCTAGAAACTTGTGAAATTAAGAGGTTTATAAAATGAGAGAGATGAACTAAAAACAGAGCGTATTCTGTAAGTTGAAATTTCCATATACTGCCTCAATTTTCCTAAACAAATTTGTATTAAAGTGGACCTCTTAATTATTTCTAAAAAATTGATACTTAATCTGTTAAGTTAAACCTTGAAAAACAAAGCAAGAACAAAAACACGCTTTCATCTCCTCCTTAACATCATGGATTAAGCCCTAGTAATTAAACAATATTTTTTAAAAAATTTGTAGACCTTTCTGGGAAATTTTAGTTGGCTATGTGTAAACTCTGAAGATTAAGATATGACTTAAAGTTTGAAAATGAGCTGGAAATCTAATAATATAAAAACCAAAACAATCCGGAAAGTCTAAGGACCCATTACGAAGCAAGTGATACATGTTCAAATTGTTTTAGAGTGGGGTTAGGAAGATACCAAAATGACTCGTGAAATGGTTCACTCAAAGCTGAATTTTGTACTGCGAAACTCCACAAGCACAAAATCGAGTAGAAGCCACCCTCTGAAAGAAAAATTTACTAAAAATACTACTAACTGTAATAGAATAACTTTTTGTACAAATATAACTGAGAAATAACAAATTTCTTATAGAAATTAATGTGCATTGAATTATTATGACATTCTGTCGTCAATTTTTGTTTACTAATTGCAGAATAAACCTACCTATCTATGTTATATTGTATATTTAAATATATATTTAATTTCTCTTAAAGTTACACACACATTTAATGCCCCTTTTTCGAATAGTCCGATTTTTCAGGGTTCCCGTGGGTGCAGCTGCTAAGTACCAGCATAGTTTGCACGCATCCTACCCAGCGTTTTCTACAGACTGATCTACAATGCTGAAAGGGTGGCGCACCTCCATGGAGAGCTTTCCCTCCGCGACAGCCGTCAGCAGCAGCGGCAGCACCGTCTCCAGCCCCGGGAAGCCCGGCGGCGGCTTCTCGCCCGTCTTCTCCTCCAGCGTGTGCGGCGCTGCAACACAAGTCAAGTCAATTCAATTCAATTCAATTCAATGTTTTACTTTACGTGGCGAGGCTCAGGCCTGCTCTTTCACCTGACCACCAATATCGCTAAGTTCCTTTCGCCTTCTAGCAGCGAAAGTAAAGGCGTGGGGATCTTTCACACAAGTAAATCTACAACATGTGACAGACAGCTTTACTTCCTCTTCGAATTCGCGCGAAGGATGTTTGGCCCTTAATCGGATTTAAAGCCGCTAACATAAAACAGTCGTAAACGCTAACCGCTTCTCCCCCGAAGCCGATAAACACGTCCACGCACACACACCTCGCCGCGCACTTGCGCCCCCCGCCCCGGCACCTCACGCACTCCAAAGGTGAGATGCGCTTCAGAGCCTGTCCTTGCCTTCTCAGATGCAAGTTATTCACCACATGCTTCCGCAGTACACATCCTTACGTAGGATTCGAACAGTAGTACGCATCCTTAAATAGGATTCGAACTAACAGTCTTTTACGTGACTTATGAGTATCAACTCGCGAGTTGAAACTCACAAAAGTATTTAAAAAAACGCGTTCATTATTTTCAATTCCTACGAACAATTGACCGCAGTTTCTTTGTATTGATTTATTAGTTGAGGAAAATAACGAAGCGGCAATTGCAGATAATGTTCTGCAGAAGTAGAAGAAAATTATCAGCATTATCAGGTAGAGCATGGCTTTCATTTCTTAAAAATTCTCAATCGATATATGTATTCCCAGAAAAGAGCACTAGAGAACGTTCTTTTAATAGCTTCTCTTTTGATTTCCGCTAAGTCTAACAACTAATTACCGATTATTTAACTACTTCAACACAATTTCTGAAGAACGTGCTCGTCGTCACTTCAACAAGGTAGGCCGATGGGCAGAAAGTGTTACTATCAACGGATTTAATCCGCTGTATGTTCACCCACCTGGCGAATATCACTCACCTTAGGTGATATTGCAGGTGACATAATGCACCCATTTTAAAGTAATATTTCCATTAATATTTTCAAATTCCCTAATTTAAATCCATTATATACAATTTTAAAATAATTAGTTTTATTTTAGGCTTTTGTATGTTTGTATTTCAAGATGAACTATGTAATTCCTAGAAGTGATATGAAGGAATCTCTATAGACAAGTCGCGTCTAAAAATGACACTAAATCTAAGGTGAAGATACAAAATCTGAACAAAGGCAAAGATATCAACCATTTGACAAATGCTCATAATGAAAAATCTTTCTTATCTAAATAGATAGCACAGCTCTTACATCGGGCATTCTACGATGTGTGACGTTAACGAAGCAGAAACGAGAATCCAGATTTCCAGGGAATCGAGGCATTTTGAAGCAGGAACTTAGGTGTATACAATGAAACCTTTAGACTTCACTAATGAACTTAAGTAAGATTGATGAATGGTACAAATAAATATCTTTGTTCACTAGGCATCGCTGGCACTCTAAAATATTTTATGATGTAATAATTCAACAACAACAACAACGAATAACAACTCCAAGTTCTCTGCCTTTATACACGTAATTGCTAAGTGTTTTTTCTTCCCTCATATGATATCTTGAATATTTTTTATTCGAATAAATTATTATTATTATCATCATCATTCCAAAAGTGTTCAGCACGAAACGAATGAAGTTGCAAAGTAATCTGTTAACTTCCAGATGTGGAGAACAAAATTTGAGCACCAAATGATAGCAGGCTGTTGACTTGTGCAAATCGTACCGAGGCGCAGACAACCACTGTCAACCAAGATCCTTATACACACACGGCCATCCATAAACATATCGATCTTGTCTCCCGTGGCCACACATGCAACCATTAGTTTGGAACGAAAGTTCGTTCGGTTTAATAGCAAATGCCTAGTAGCGCGGCGCCTGAGAGCTATGTTGCCCCCTTTCATTAGATGTTTCCGGGTTTGTAGGCCGTGGTTCGACGGAAACTGGTCCATACGTTTTGCCTGCAACTGTGGAAGTCATCAGCAGTGGTGTTCCGGGCGGGGAACAGTCTCCTTTGGACCACAGCCTACATCTATGTACAGGAAACATCTAATTATGTAGAAACGGGCCGTGAAAGCCTACATTGTATGTTATGTTACCCGACTAATGATGACTAATTGCTGGCATATCACAGGAGTTCCTTCAAACAATGCAGAATCTTTATCAATGCCGGAGTCCACTCGTCACAGTAGCCTATACGCGCGTTGGGCAGCAACACAAACCAAACTGGTTGCGAGGCATTAGGTAGTTGAAAGTAGCATGCTGGTTTCGGTATTGATTTTCAAATATATTGTTATTAAATAAACATTATTTTTCTCACGGGCCGACTCTTGCATTCCTCCTTTTCTTGCTTGACGACACGGCCGCTGCCATGGCGACCCGCGCTTCGTCTGTATTTATAATAAAAAATTCTGTTATCGTTCCAAAAATATATTTTATTATTAAAAATAACGTTTTCGGACTTCCCACTGAAACTATTTTTAACGGTTTTGTCTTGATGCTTTGGTTCCAACTCACTGAAGATTGCAAGTTTAATATAGTATAAATATACACAGTGTTGAACTTGCAATCAAGTGAACATTTTTCTCCCCCCCCCCTTTTTTTATATTTTACTTTACACAAAATTCAAATCCATCGAAAAATCAAAAAGCGATGCTTACAGTTTCTAAAATAAAGTTTTAAAATTTATGACACTGTGATAGGAACATAACTAATATATCCCGGTTCTGATCCATCCGCACAATCCTGGATAACAAACAGTTGTTTTTTTTTTTGTGAGGGGGGAGGGGGGTACTTATTTGTCGTGAACCGTTCACTAACTAAGCATTTTACAGATTTTCGCATCTGGATTGTATAAAATTCTATTAACGGCTAAACTCGCAGTGTTTTCTGTTCGTAAAAATAATTTCATCTCTATTAAAAAAAGAGAATTGTAATTTTAAAGGATTTAGAGTGGCGTTCCTCTATTTTCAGTTTACTATTGGCAGAATGATATTATTAAAAATGTTATCCGTTCCTAATATTTTCCATCGTGTAGAAAATTCGAAGATACGTCTAAGTAAAAAACGGTCCTTTTAGTTCTCTTTAGGTTATTTTTTTCCAATTTAAGTGTAATTTACAAAAGGCATTTTCGTATTTTCGAACAAACTGTTACTAAAAATAGTACAGTTCCCTAAAATCAGAGACCTTCAAACATCCCTCCTGCCAATGGCTTTAATAAAGGTTAAAGAAGTAATGAAAAAAATAAATGAAAAAACAAAAACAAACGAAATAACAAAAAAAGAAGTTGGGAATAAGTAGTAACATGTGATGTGTTTAATTTTTCATAGGGACAGCGCAAACTTCCGACAAATACTAACAGCACATTCCTCGTTCCCCATGAAAATTTCTCATCCCAACGCATTTTCGACAATTTGCATCTCAAACTGAGGCGCCGAGGCGCGTACCGTGGTCGGTGGCGAAGATGTCGATGACGTCCAGGTTGTCCCAGAGCGCCCTGCGGTCCTCCTCGGAGCCCAGCACGGGCCGCACGGAGCCCAGGCCGGGGCCCAGGCGCTCGGCGTCCTCTTGCGTGAGGAACAGGTGGTGCGGGCACACCTCGCACGTCACCGCCAGCCCCTGCGACACACGCGCGTCACCCACGCCGCATCAGAACCAGGCAGGTGTGGTTGGAGCGGGGCGAGGGGAGAATGGATGTTTGTTGTTTTGGAAGAAAATTTTAAAATTATTCAATGAGGGATAGTTCAAAGACTGCCTGCATTGAAGTTTTTTATAAAATGGTTTGAAGGTCCTTTAATTTTTTAGGTAGACATGCACATAATTTATTTTGTATTATTTTTATTTTGTCTAAAAATTGTAAAAATGTAATAAACATTTATTATGTGAATGTATGCCTAAAAAATTACAGGACATTCAAACCAATTTTAAAAAGAACGAAGATTTGTTTTTTTGAAGACTATCTGTCATTTTTTACACAACTGCCTCTGTAATAAGTACCGCATTTAATAAACAGTAACCTAAGAAATACCACCTAAGAAGGCGATAGCCTCTACATCTAGGATAATTCTTTTCATTCCAAATAATGAATATTTGCGAGGTATTAGCTTGACTTCTTCAGGATGGATATTACACTTTGGGTAATGCTTCATAGTAATGATTTGTTAAAGTATTAACAAAGCTGCTTTCCCCTCCGGGTTGAAGCTTTAATTCAAGAAAGACCCTATATTTTTAGAAGGATTTACAGTAAAGACGGGGGAGGCAAAAGCTACCCGAGCAGGGGTAGGGGTAGGGGTGCACGTTCCGCAGCTTGGCCCGCCGAGTGGCCGCTGTGCGTGCACGCCGAGATGCCAGACCACGGCGACCGCCTGTGCTGCTGCTCCGCCTCGCTGCACAAGGCCGGCGCTGTGCAAACGTGTGCCACGTTTGGCGCGCAAGAGGAGATACGCTCATCATCCCCGCAGCCAAGGAAATACCGCCCCTCCACCCGCACCCCCCTACCCGACACAACACCCGACCCCAACCCAGAACCGCAGACCCAAGTCTCCAACACCCGACGCCGCAACCCCAAACCCCGACCCAACCCGACCCAACCCGACCCCACCCCGACCCAACCCCGACCCCACCCCGACCCACCGCGACCGCCAAACCCGCACCCCCACCACCCCGACCACCTCGACCAACCCCGACCCCAACCCCGACCCAACCCCGACCCAACCCCCCGCCCCACCCCGACATCCAAACCCGACCCCAACCCACCCCAACCCCGACCCACAACCAGAACCCCAACCCCGACCGGCGGAACCCGCCGGACCCGACCGCACCCAACCCTGCTCGGGTAGCTTTTGCCTCCCCGTTCTTGACTGTTAAATCCATTCTAAAAATATAGTGGTCTTCTTGAATTAAAGCTTCAACCGGAGGGAAAGCAGCCTTTGTTAATACTTTAAAAGAAATCATTACTATGCAGGCATTACCCCAAAGTGTAATATCATCCTGGAAGAAGTCAAGCTAATACCTCGCAAAATATTCATTATTTGGAATGAAAAGGAATTATCCTAGATGTAGAGGCTATCGCCTTCTTAGTGGTATTACTTTGGTTACTGGTTTTTATAAATGCGCATTACTTATTAAGCGAGCAGTTGGGTAAAAAATGACAGATAGTCTTCTTTCAAAAAAAACAAATCTTCTTCTTTTTAAAAATTGGTTTGAATGTCTGTAATTTTTATGCATACATTCACGATAAATATATGTTTCATTACATTATTTACAATTTTTTAGACATAAAAAAAATACAAAATAAACGTTGTGTGCATGTCTCCTTCAAAAATTAAAGGGACCTTCAAACCATTTTATAAAAAACTTAAATGCAGGCAGTCTTTGACGTTTCCCATCATTGGAATAATTTTTAAAATTTTCTTTCAAAACAACAACATCCATTCTCCCTCCGGCCCGCTCCAACACCTCAACCTGCTCGTTCTGATGCGGCGTGGGGATGACGCGGTGTGTCGCAGGGCTAGCGGTGACGTGCGAGGTTGTGCCCGCACCACCTGTTCCTAACGCAAAAGGAGCCGAGCGCTGGCCCCGGCCTGGGCTCCGTGGGCAACCGTGCTGGGCTCCGAGAGGACCGCCCGGGCGCTCTGGTCAACCTGGACGTCATCGACATCTTTCGCCACCACCACGTGTACGCGCCATCGGCGCCGCTCAGTTTGAGATTCAAATTGTCGAAAATGCGTTGGGATGAGAAATTTTCATGAGGGAACGAGGAATGTGCTATTAGTATTGTGTCAGGAAGTTTGGGCGCTGTCCCTATGAAAAGATTAAAGCACATCACATGTTACTACTATTATTCCAACTCTTCTTTTTGTTATTTCGTTTTGTTTTCGTTTTTTCATTTTTTTTCATTATGTCTTTTAACCTTTATGAAAGCCAGTTGGCAGGTAGGGATGTTTGAGTCTCTGATTTTAGGGAACTGCTACTATTTTTAGTAAACAGTTTTGTTCGAAATACGAAATACCTTTTGTAAACACTTTAAATTGGAAAAAAATCAACTAAAGAGAACTAAAAGGACCGTTTTTTCTTTAAGACGTATCTTCAATTTTGCTACACGATGGTGGTAAAGTAAATATAAAAAAAAGGGGGGAGAAGAAAATGTTTAACTTTGTTTCACTTGATTCAAGTTCAACACTGGTGTATATTTTACTATATTTAAACTTGCAATCTTCAGTGAGTTGGAACCAAAGCATCAGACAAAACCGTTAAAAAATAGTTTCAGTGGAAGACCGGAAAACGTGTATTTTTTAATAAATATATTTTTTTGGAACGATAACAGAATTTTTATTATAAATACAGACGAAGCGCGCGGTCGCCATTGCAGCGGCCGTGTCGTCAAGCAGAAAGGAGGATACAAGAGTCGCCCGTGAGAAAAAAGAATGTTTATTTCATGAAAATATTTTGAAAATCAATACCGAAAACCAGCATGCACTTGCAACTACCTAATGCCTCGCAACCAGTTTGGTTTGTGTTTGCTGCCCAAAACGCGCGTATAGGCTACTTGCGTGGACGATTGGACTCCGGCATTGATAAAGATTCTGCATTGTTTGAAGGAAACTCCTGTGAATATGCCAGCAATAGTCCCATCATTAGTCGGGTAACATAACATATAATGTAGGCTTTACGGCCCGTTTCTACATAATAGATGTTTCCTGTACATAGATGTAGCTGTGGTCCAACGGAGACTGTTCCCCGCCCGGAACACCACTTACTGATGAATTCCCACAGTTGCAGGTAAAACGTATGGACCAGTCTCCGTCGAACCGGCCTACAAACCCCGGAAACATCTATATGAAGGGGCAACATTAGTCTTCAGGCGCCGCGGCCTTACTAGGCATTTGCTATAAACCGAACGAACTTTCTTCCAAACTAATGGTTGCATGCGTGGCCAACGGGAGACAAGATCCTGATAAATGTAACAAAATAATAATAACAATAGCAATAATAATAATAATAATATAATAATAATATATATATTCGAATAAAAAAATATTCAAGATATCAGAAGAGGGAAAGAAAAACACTTAGCAATTAGCGTGTGATAAAGGCTAGAGCGACTTGTGAGTTTATTTCGCTGTACGTTGCTGTCTGTGCTGTGTGTTGAACGTTACTTCAACATTGCTAGGTAAAAAGTATCTTGAGTTCTTGGCGTCGTCATGCGAGCCTAGTGAACAAAGATATTTATTTGTTGCGGAGCGTTCATCACGATTGATACTGCGTAAATCTCGGTTAGGAGCCATTGATCTGGATGGCAGGTGGCTCCAGAGAGGTTTCATTGTATAACAGCGTCTCAAGTTCCGTGCCTTCAAGGTCTGGCTCGGGAGTGCCCCCTTGAGGACTTTTTGTTATTTCCCTTTGTCGCTCTTGCTCCTCTCAGCTCCTGTCTCCGTTCGCCGTTGCCTCCCGTTGTTACGAGTGTGTTTTAGACACGATTCGTCCCTGCCAGAAAACGCCAGCAAAACGCTACCATGCGAACTTTCGCGCCGTTTCAGAAGGAGAGTAGCCCGATGTAAGAGCTGTGCTATGCTATTTAGATAAGAAAGATTTTCATTTATGAGCATTTGTCAAATGGTTTGATATTCTTTGCCTTTGTTCAGAGTTTAGCGATCCTCGCTCTGCGGTAGACATCTGTAGTGTTCGCCTGTGTGTGTGACCCGGCCG